GGCAACATGAAGTGAACTGAGACAAGACATAGGCAATATATATAACAGAAGAGTAATGGCTAGAATATATAACAATTCCATTAAATCCATGAGAAAAAGAAAAACAATCCATTAGAAAAATGAGAAATTGACATAGGTTCTTCACAAAAGAAATATAAAAGGTGATAACCATAAAAAAAACTCTACCTTACTAGCAATTTAGCAAAAATATATTAAAACATTAATGAGATATTTTTTTCCATTGAATTTAAATTGTTCCATGATGTACACTATTGTTGAGTATAGGGGAAAATTCACACTTTTATACATTTGTCTTTTTGAAGGGCTATTTGGCAGTATACAACTCAGTCTTTAATCCACCAAATCAACTCTAGAATTCTAATCTGAAAAAAATTCTCATAGAAGTGCAGAAAAATTTGTAATGAAAAAAATAATTCGAGAGTGTTTATTGTAGCATTATTTGTAAAAGAAAATAATTGGAATCTACTTGAGTGTTCATGAATAGAAAATAGTTAAATAAATTATAGTATCTCCCCAAAATGGAATGCTATGCAGCTGTTTAAAAATGAGGTAGATCTATAGGTACTGATATAGCACCTTGCTATATTTGTTTTTCTTTAAAACATTTCTTTTACTTATTGACTTTCGAGAGAAGAAGAGAGAGGGAGAGAGATGGAAACATCAATGAAAGAGGATATCAATTGGCCACCTCCTGCATGCCCCCCACTGGGGATCAGGCCCACAACCTGGGCATGAGCCCTGACCGGGAATCGGGAATCGAAGTGGTGACCTCTTTGTGCATGGATTGACGCTCAACCACTGAACCACATCAGCCAGGCAGCACCTTGCTATATTTTTAAATAGAAAAAGCAAGTTTCAGAATCCCAAATATAATGTGATTCACTTTTGGTAAGAAATATGTGTATGAACATATTTGTATACATGAATGTGTAGAAGTAGGGCTAAAAAAATGCACCAAATTGTTGACAGAAGAAAAATAGGGGCAAGACTAAAGGTAGCTATAAAAACTGGTTAAACTCACAGGCTCTGGGGTCACAGAATTTAGTGGCTCTGCTACGTACTAGCTATGTGACTTTGGGAATTTTTTTAACCTCTCTGTGCCTCAGTTTCTTTATCTACATAATGGTGATGATATTATTACCTCAAAGACTTGCTGTGAGGGTTGAATGAGACAATGTGCATAAAGCACTTGCAATGAAGCCTGGAACATAGTATAAGTTTGCTGTTATTATATTCTTTAACTATTTTGCAATAAGAATGCATTCATGGATTTCCTATGTAACAAAAAAGGAAGCTAAAATGAGAATATGACAGAACTTCTAAGTAAAAAAAGAAGAAAAAATAAAATGTTTGTATCACCTACAATGGCATTTTAACTATACCACAATCCAGTAGAACACATAATTTATAATAATTTGTATTTTAAACTGTGCCTTTGGAACAAAGAAAAGCATAGCCACAATATTTTGCAGTTCCAGTTTATTTCTCTGGTCCATTGATATTCTTTGAATAACAAAGCACAGCAGAAGTAACATCGTGTGTGTTCTTGAGCCTAGGCCTTTCCAGGCATTGTAGCTTCCACCTTGATCATTGTGGAGTACTGTTCTGACACCAGCTTCTAAGGCAGCTGGTGTCACCTATTAGAGAATGAGAAACCATATGGAGAAGAACGGACAACTAAGATATCCAGACAATACTCAGCACCTATTGCCAAACATGTTAGTGAGGCTACTTCGTACCTTTCAGAACAGCCAACCCTCCAGCTGAATGCAACTGCACAAATGTGTAAAGGAAAAACCGGCAGAGCAAACATGTAGTTAACCCACAGAATCATGAGATAATAAATTGGTATTGATTTAAGCCACTAAGTTTTATGGTCATTGGTTATGCAGCAACAGTTAGCTGATACAAAAGATATGAGATCTTTTGGAGAGAGACCACATGGAGAGACAGGCCCAGACATCTCAGTTGTTCCAGCCACTCCAGTAGAGATATCAGACATGTAAGGTCATATGGGATGAACCCAACCCTGGATTACCTGCCAACTAAATGTAGCAACTTGTGTGAGCCCCACAAGACCAGCAGAAAAAAAATTCCCATCTTATCCACACTAATATAAAAAATAGTAAAATGTTGTTTAAAGCTATGAAATTTTTTAAATATGTTTTTTATTGATTTTTTGGGGGAGGGAGAGATAGAAACATCAATGTGAGAGAAACATCAATTGGCTGCCTCCTGCATTCCCCCTACTGGGGATTGAGCCCACAACTTGGGCATGTGCCTTGACTGGGAATCAAACCTCGATCTCCCAGTCAGGGCACATGCCTGGGTTGAGTGCTCAATTCCTAGTAGGGGGCATGCAGGAGGCAGCCCATCAGTGTTTCTTTCTCATATTGATGTTTCTATCTTTCACTCCCTTCCTCTCTCTCTAAAAAATCAATAAAAACAGATTTTTAAAAAGTCAATTGAAAAATATCCTGAGGTGAGGATTAACAAAATAAATAAATAAATACAATCTTACCTCTAGGCATGGACTAAGAATGGTGTTAAATCAAAGCAGTCGATTTTAAAGAAAGTTTTCTGTATGAGGTAGGAAACAATCATTTAAATTAAGTTTAATGGAATAGAACATATTTCTCTCTTCCTATTTTAATCCTTTGTTTTAAAAACAAGATTGTTAAATGCAAAACTTGTCACCAGTTGTCTCTCTAGGGCCTACTATGCATTACCAAGATATACAGAAGGACACGTCCCTTCTCTCAAAGAAATAAAAGTACAATAGGAGAAATAAGCATCTAAATAAATAACTATAATACAGAGGACTTGGATAAGGGCCAAGAGAGAAAAAGTACTTTTGCAGTTCAGAGGAAAGAGAACATTTCAGGATGGAAGTTCATGAAAAAGGTAGTAATAAATATGAGTCTGATAAGTATAGGAAGACTGCTAGAAATGGAGAAGAAAGGGCATCCCAGGCAGATGCAGAGGTGATCTAAACTAAAGAAATTTTATGTTTTATTCATCATAGTATTTGAATGAAAGGATAGATGCCCCATTGTTACCGTGTCTACTTGATGGCCTGTGGGACAACTTATACTTAAAATTTCAAGAGAGACAGAAAGAGCTGCAGTAGTCTGTATCATCTAGAATTTCAACCACAGCATCAGGTATCCTAGAAAATGGGTGGACCTATTTTGTGGTGGTAGCTGACTCCTGACTATGCCCATCCTGTGATTGGGATTCCTTGGGTCATAAAACAAGGTGGTCCTGAAGGAGTCTGCATTATTCAATGGAGTACTATGCAGCGGTAAGAAAGAAAGATCTCTCATCCTTTGAGACGACATGGAGGGACCTGGAAAGTATTATCCTAAGTGAAAGAAGCCAAGCAGAAAAAGACAAATACCACATGATCTCACTCATATACGGAATATAATGAACATAACAGTCTGAGGAATACAGTAGACCCAGAAACACGGAAATAGGGCACAGACTGACATCCCCCAGAAGAGGGGGGGGGGTGGGAAGAGATAAACCACAGAACTTATATGCATGTATGCATGACCAATGGACATGTTCAACTAAGCCTGGGACGGGGCGGAGGTGGGGTGGTGTTGGGGGTGCCAATGGGGTAAAAAGGTAAAATATCTGTAACAAAAAAATAAACAAAAAAATTCATAAAAAAAAAGGAGTCTGCATTATTAAAATGATTATTACTGAAAAAGAAATGTGTTAAAAGCAAACCATGATATGAACAGAATCATATCTTTAAAATTAAAGGCAGAAGAGGTGTAGGACTTATAAAGAAGATTAGTTCTGTTTTTCTTTTATTTAAAATATATTTTAAAATATATTTTTATTGATTTTTTAGAGAAAGAGATAGAAACATCCATGTAAGAGAGACACATGACTGGCTGCCTCCTGCACACCCCCTACTGGGGATCGAGCCCACAACCCACGCATGTGCCCTGACTGGGAATTGAATCGGGACCTCTCAGTCCATAGGAGGACACTCAATCCACTGAGCCACACCAGTTGGGTGGATTTTAATTTTTAAATAATAGCTTTCTGATTATGAATTAGTACACACTTGTGGAAAATAAAATTTAAAAAATGTTTTTAAAAATTAAAATTACTAAAAGTTCTCTAAACAACCCGGCCGGTGTGGTTGAGCATCAACCCATGCACCAAGAGGTTGCTGGTTCGAACCACGGTCAGGGCACTGCCTAGGTTGTGGGCCCAACCCCCAGTGGAGGGCTGTGCAGGAGGCGGCCAATCGATGTGTTTGCTCATCAGTGTTTCTACCTCTGTCTCCCTTTCCCTTCCTTTCCCTTTAAAATCAATGAAGAAAAAAAAAATGTTTAAAAATCCCCTGAATCACTATTAACATTGTACGTAACTTATTTTTCCCAGTCTTTTCTTCATGCCTTTATTTGTAAATATTTTAGTTTGTCAATTCATATAAATATGAGATGATATGCTTTTGCAATCTCCCATTTTTCCTATTTAAAAGTATATTGGAGTTGGAGTAACAAGATGGCGGCACCGGATTGGCCCAGTAATAAGATGGTGGCATCGGCCTAGTGACTGGCTCCCTCCAGGCGGAAGCCGGAAGCTGAAAGCCGGAAGCCAGAAGCCGGAAGCTGGAAGCTGGAAGCTGGAAGCGGGTGGTAGTGGTATCGCGCTGTGACGCACCGAGCTCCTCACTGTGCGCATTTTCCAGCCTGCTTCGAAAGCGAGGCAGCCGGAAGCCCAGAATTAAGTGGCCCAGCCTGGTAACCTTGAGAACTTCTCACAAACTTCGGCCTGGCAAAAAGAAACCTGACTGAGCGGCGTTGATCAGGTAACTCTTGGTGGATTGTGGGTCCTATAACGCCAAGAGTTAACGTTTTCTGTTTCCGGCCGCCCGCTTCTGCAGCCTCAGAGGCCTCGGTCCTCACAGAGGTGTTGGGGCTTAGCCCTAGCCTCCATCTTTGCCTCTCAGGATGGCTAGCAGCAGCGGCACCAGGGCTGAATTCATTGTTGGAGGGAAATATAAACTGGTACGGAAGATCGGGTCTGGCTCCTTCGGGGTTGTTTATCTGGCGGTCAGCATCACCAAGGGCGCGGACGTGGCAGTGAAGCCAGAATCTCAGAAGGCCAGGCACCCGCAGGGGCTGTAGGAGAGCAAACTCTGTAAGATTCTTCGGGGTGGGGTCGGCATCCCCCATACGGTGTATGGTCAGGAAAATGACTACACTGTGCTAGTCATGGATCTTCTTGGACCCAGCCTGGAAGACCTCTTCAATTTCTGTTCACGAAGGTTCACAATGGAAACTGCACTTATGTTAGCTGACCAGATGATCAGTAGAATTGAATACGTGCATACAAAGAATTTCATGCACAGAGACATTAAACCAGATAACTTCCTAATGGGTATTGGGCGTCACTGTAATGAGTTATTCCTTAATGATTTTGGTTTGGCCAAAAAGTACAGAGACCACAAGACAAGGCAGCACATACCATACAGAGAAAATAAAAATCTCACTGGCACTGTCCGGTATGCTAGCATCAATGCACATCTTGGTATTGAACAGAGTGGCCGAGATGACATGGAATCATTAGGATATGTTTTGATGTACTTTAATAGAACCAGCCTGCCATGGCAAGGATTAACAGCTGCAACTAAGAAACAAAAATATGAAAAGATTTGTGAGAAGAAGATGTCCACTGCTGTCGAAGTTTTATGTAAGGAGTTTCCTGCAGAATTTGCTGTGTACTTAAATTATTGTCGTGGGCTGCGCTTTGAGGAAACCCCAGATTATGCGTATCTGAGGCAGCTATTCCGCACTCTCTTCAGGACCCTGAACCCCCAGTGTGACTACACATGTGATTGGACAATGTTCAAGCAGAAAGCAGCACAACAGCTGCCTCTTCAAGTGGCAGGGTCAGCAGGCCCAAACCCCTCAGGTTTCTAAGCATGAATCAAGGAGCAGAAGCAGTGCAGATGATCGGAGCAGCATTTGTTTCTCCCCAAATCTAGAAAATTTAGTTAATATGTACACTAGCCAGTGGTTGTGGACAACCATTTACTTGGTATAAGGAACTTAATTTCAGTGTAATCTGGCTCTGAGCAGCATTGGTGATGCTGTGAGTTGTAGTGGTTATAATTGTGAATATGAACTGAGGTAGTGAAACATGGTGTCCAGTTTTCTGTTGCATTTTTTCAAGTGGAAACAACTAAATATTTGACATACAAAAATTGGTGGAGAAATTGTACATATGTTAATTTTTGTCGAAATCTTACTTTGAACTATACTGCTTTGAGATCTCATTTCAGAAGAGCAGCATGAACAGTCTTCAGCCACAGTTGTTGTAAATGCTCACAATTATGCATTCTTAGGGCTTATCCATCCCTGGGGTTTGCAAGTTGTTCACTTAAATCATTCTTAAAGTGGTTGGCTTCTTGTTTGCAAGCCAGCTGATATGGTGGCAACCAAAGATATCAGTGTTTGAGTATATGAAAGACTCGGCCTGCTTACCTGCTAGAAATAACATCTAAAGTGAAAACTTAAGAAAAACGTAGTGACTACTATATTATCCTTGTGACTGTGCATTAACTGTATAATGTTCTTTGTATTTAAAAAAAAAAACCACATTTGTCACAGAAATTGAGTTAACATCTTAAAACTGAACATGTATGTATGTTGCTTAGATAAATGCAATAACTTTCAACATCTATATGATCTGGGATTTTGTTTTTATTTTGAAATGGGAGCTTTTTTTGTTTACAGGTTTATTAAAAATAAACTGAAAAAATAAAAATATATTGGGGATCAGTTCAGTTTTTAAAAAGTTGAGTTTTAGGTAATTTTGAAATATTAAGGAGGAAATGTTCAGGCAGTTGTTAGAGAGGGAACCCAGGAGGAACATTGGGACATGAGATACAGTCTCAAAGATATAAACTAGAAGTAATGATTTCAACCTGCAAATGGGATGAGATCACACTTTTTCAAAGTATGGGTTACTGGGTTAAGAAAGCAATCGATTTAGTTGGAACAGAATAGAATAATTTCAAAATTCATCACAGTAGTTGTAAGTAATCATTCTGGATTGCAATGTAAAAATCAATTTCTTATTGTGAATCTAAGGACTTAGCTTTTTGGAACAATAAAAGACACTGATAGGAGGGAAACCACAACCAATTTTAAGAAAAGAAGATTAATGGTTGGCATTGGTCTCTGGACCCCTTTACACTGTTAAAAAATTTGAAGACCTCAAAGTGCTATTGTCTTTGTGGGTTATCTCTATTGGTGTTTATTTATCAGAAGTTAAAAATGGCAGAAATTAAATGTTTATGTATCGGTGTACTGAAAATAACATTAACAAAGTTATTACATATTAACATAAGATTTTCATAAAAAAACTGATGTATTTTTCCAAACAAAAAATTGAGAAGAGTTGTAGTATTATCTTTTATACTTGTCTTAATAAAACAGCTAAATTCTCATATCTGCTTTTGTATTTACTTAATTGAATTGTCCTCAGGGCAAAATCCAAAATCCTTATCAAGGCCCCTAAATAGTCACATGATTTGGCTCCTTTCTGCCTCTCTTGCCACATCTTATATTACCACCACCACTACCCCAAATACACAACTTATGCTCACTACACTCCAGATACACTTGCCATTGCCAAACTATTTTTCACGTACATACCATAACTTTGCTGCATGACTGCAATGCTAACTACTCATCCTCCTGGCCTCAGATTGGTAGCCACTGCCTCAGGGAAGCTACCCTAACCACTACAACCTCAATCTAAATGGAGTCTCTCCTCTGTCAATACTGTTTTTTTCCTTCACAGTGCTCATCAGTTTAAAACTATACATCTCATTGTGGGATTGGTTATGTTGGTCTCCTGCCCGTGGATTGTAATCTCCACAAAGGCAGGAACAGCTATGTTTTGTTTATCACTCTCTTCCCAATACTTAGCACTGAGTAGACACAGTGGGTTTTCTATAAATCTTTGCAACACGAAAGTATGAATGAGAGAATGAAGATACATTTAGGAAGCCTGTTTCCTGAGTCTGAGAAGAAATTACTCATGTTTATTGTGTTGCATGGAAAATAACTCCTAGTCCCCGATTTTTATGTAAAACATTTAAAATCATTATAATACACTGTCCTAATAACTGGTAGCAACTAATAGCAATTGTTAAAAGGCTTTAAAAGTCTGTGTATGGACATTATTAAGCATGTGTTTTAGAAGCTCTAAATGCTTTAGTTATTTCAGTACAAATTAATAGTTACCTAAAAATCAGTCATGATAATAATTCACTTAAAAGGTTATGATGATGAAGTCACAAAGTTAGAAGACCAAATGCATTTAAATGCCAACAGAACAGCCCTAATTGTTCTATACTGTTTTCAAATTCTTTTTCTGGAGTATAATTTCATTTTTCAAACAGAAATCATGGTATGTTTTGAAATCACTATTTCCTCTTTTTAACTGTGATAGTTGAAAAGAACCAAAAAAGCCTGGTCAGTGTGGTTCAGTGGTTGAGCATCAACCCATGCACCAAGAGGTCACCAGTTTGATTCTGGGTCAGGGATATGCCCAGGTTGTGGGCCAGATCCTCAGTGGGAGGCATGCAGGAGACGGCCAATCGATGTTCTCTCTCATTGATATTTCTCTTTCTCCCTTCCGTCCTCTCTCTAAAATCAATAAAGAAAAAAAAAATTTTTAAGTGCCCAAAACTAATATTCTTAAAATTTTTTTCAATAAAAAGGCAAACTATCATAAAGCCAGCTTTCAGATCAGCAAGGGAAGCCACTACATTATCTTTGAGGGTACAAATTATTGTTATTGCCATATTTTTAGGTGTATACTTATCAAATATAAGTGAATTTCATATAAATTAAAGACCAAGGTGCCATTCTTTTAACTTTATAATTTTAACTTAGGCAGTTATTTGACTCATATAGTAATAACATAAATGAATTCCCACTGCACCCTATTGAGAAGCCTTGGTTTGTGAGGTTATGAGTAATCTGTATTAGAGATGTTTTATTTTAAGGGTAAGGTGCAGCAGCATTGATGGGGCCTTCCCAATGAGAAATATTTTGTCCGAAAGTACACTTCCTTGAGCAGGGCTTGCTAGTGGAATACAAAGTGACTTGCTAAAGCCCCAAATTAAAAAAAAAAAAAAAAGTATTTTGTTTCTCCTTGGAACAATAGCCAGAAAAGCATCCATAGGATTCATTTGGATACTAAATATGAGTAGGTAGAGACTTTAATTAGCTTGCCACTTGTTCTCCTGAGTCTTACTTACTTGGGTGTGTGAAAAATAACGTGTTTGGCTCTGTTCTGAAGAGAGGATGCAAAATCCTGGCCACCAAGTGTTCACATCCAGGCTCAAGTGAGCTTTCTCCAACGTGGTTACTTTCCCCAGAGGGAGCCACAGCCAGTGAGAAATGGACACTCCCTCAAAGCAAGTTGGTGACTGCAATTTTTATAGCTCTGTTTATGGAAGCTGTTAGGGTAGAAAATCATTAAGCTACCTTTCCTGCTTCCAATCATTGTTTCTGGTAGCTGATATCTGGATGACATTATCAGTTGCAATGTTCACCACAACAAGTACATTTTGAAAGTGTGCCTTTGAAAACATCTTCCCATTAGACAAGCAACCAAACAAAATTCCTTCATTTCAGATGGTTCACATCGATTTTCTTTATATGATTGTTATTGACTTTAGTCTTCTAATATTATTGTACTTACATTCTTACTTATGAGAGTACTTAGAAACAAGATTGAAATAAATGATATTTTCCATTAAGCATTTTTTGCAGAGAAGGCAACCTATGGATTATATAAATATGTTTAAAAATACCAAAGCTAGAACATCTAAATATTGTTTTCTAGAACTCTATTGTTCTAGGTACATGGTAGCAGCCATTCAATATATGCTTGTTTGATTATGGAAATGTTCACAAATCTTTAAACATCTCTTAGCTTTTTAAAGTCTCAATTTCTTTACCTATTCCAGTGCTGGCACAGTTCCTAGAACATGGTAGATGTTTCAAGATCAATTTCTGGAGTGATGTTTTTGTAATTTCATTAATTCTGGGGATAAACATATAAAGGTGTATGAATTCATGTGTGTGGTCTTTGTTAATGAAAAGGCATATCCCTTTAAAAATTCCTAGCAAATTATTTGAATAATCCAGGCAACTGGGCAACTGTCCTAGACAGATTGCATGCTCCATCATAATGGTTATATTTTCCTTTACATTGGCCATTCTGAACTGGCAATTTAGTGTGCCGCCTTCTTGATATCCACATTTGAAATAGAAATCTTGGTCCCATGAACATAATGACTGGTGAATTCTTCAATTTTCTGTTGCTTAAATATGTCTAGGGAATCTCTAAAGTTGAATAAATGCTTTAGGAAACCCATCTATAGTATCAGGCTGTGGACCTCCAAAATCTATAAATCAGTTCTTCAGAAAAGGAGAAGAGTGATAGCACTTTGTAGGTTGGAATTAAAGAGAGAAATAATGTTTTTGAAAGAACTACAAGGAGACAGGTGCAGACCAAATGAATTAAGGTCTCCAGGGAACTGTGGAAGAGGCATGAGGAAAATGAGTGGGGAGAATGTGAGAGAAAATATAAAGAGAAGGCGGTAGAGGAGAATTTTTTTTTTTTTATGATTAAATCAACTACTGAATTGTCAGTAGAAAAACAAGCTGAGTTTCCTTTCATGAAATCCCTAGACACCAACTGTCCCTTCCTCTCTGTGTCTTCAAAAAGAGTAACAAAGAGATAGTGACTGTGAGAGTGAGATGATCCTGGTTTTAAATCCTATATTTCATTCCCATGGCTGTTATGGTTTGACCATGTCCCATGCTGCCTGAATTCCCATTTCATTAATGAGCTGTTTCCTTAATCGTTGGTTACATAATTTCCTTAGACTTCAGACTGTGTTCCAGTCACTGGAGAAGGGACTGGCCAGATGTTTCTTTTTCCTTCATTCAGATGGAATTGAAGAGGTATCCTGAAAGTCTTTTCCCTCGCAGTTCAGGGTTCCGGTAGTTCTCAAT